ACAACTAATACTTTTTACTGTTAATGTCACTAATTAACTTAGTTTAAGTACCTTTAAATTACATAATTGAAGTATTTTTCACATGTTAGCTAGTAATAATATTTATCATGAACTTTCTGTTTCTGTGTGTGTGACCGATTGATTGATTGATTGATTTTATGTTCGCTGAAAATTACAAATTATAGATAATTATACGGCTTAGTGTGAGTCTGACAGCTCATATTAATATAATTAAACTTGAGAATTAATTATTGAAGCAACTCAGTTGTTCTGAGTGAACACTTCAAGTTCAGGTGATTCCAGTTTGTTCCATTGATCATAATAATTGATCCATAAACCCGAATATGCACCAAAATAATTCTTAATGATCCCCAAAGTGTATAGATTTAATGTTTATCACGTTAAAAAAACACAGTGGAAACATTTGTATAAATAAGATTCATTAAAGTTACTTTATTCAGATACATTCTATTTTATTTTGGAGAAATGCTGCGTATGAGTGTAACTTCAATTAACTGAATGTCAAGAATCATATCACCGTCAGACAGTCAGTACTGTGGATGCCCCGCTGTGTGGCCTTAATGCCCCTTCTAAAATTAACTACCACAGTCAGTTCGGTGTTACCCTGTTAAACTACATGAGACGCAGCAAATAATACAGATATACAGAGTCGATAATCACACTGGACATCAACAGTAGCTCCAGATTTCTCCCACATATATATATTCTGTAAGCAGAGACGTTTAGAAAGCTAACGTTGGTAGCATTGTTGGTGTTAACAGAGGGGCAGTAAAGAAATAAGAAGTTTACTTCAGCGTCTTCTTAGACTCTTGAAGCACAGCTTCGTTAAAGGGGAAGGATCACCAGGTAACTCACAGGTGCAGTTCATTAAGTAAAAGTACAAATACCAACCCCACTGTAAAAATACTGCATTATAAACCTCACTGAGGTAAAAGTATTATAGCAAAATATACTTAATACTGCAGTAAAATCCCTCTTTTATTATATATGTGATGTTTTTGGATTAATATTTAAAATCTAAATACAAACACACACACACACACACACACACACAGTGTTTGGTAGTTTAAGCCTTGGTGCCACAGTGAACTAACCCTCAACACTTACTGCTACTCAAATTTATTCTTAAATACTTTGATTAAACAGTTTAAGACAGTTTGAGTTGAACTAACTCAGGTTTTACAGTGTGTGTGTGTGTGTGATGTGTGTGGTGTGTGTGTGTGTACGTGTGTGTACGTGCTGCATTGTGCCACTATCAGGACTCCGTCATGGCTGAGAGATACAGCAGAGAGTGAGAGAGAGAGAGAGAGAGAGAGAGGTCATGTGAGGCAGTTATTATATATAGATCCAAACTTTACTTCATATGACACCTTAACCTCCACACTGACGCTCAGCTCGCTCAAACTCCAGAACAAAAACCCAGTTTCTGAAACATTAACGCTCCTGTCCTTCACAGTGCAAAGGTCAGGCCTCACCTTCGCCTTCGTCCCGCACAAACACACTTTAATCTGCCTTCAGTCTGCTCCTCCTCTGCTCCTCCTCTGCTCCTCTGCTCCCTCAAACTGCTGCAGAGGCCCAGACTCAAACCCAGAGAGGAAAGAGAGAGAAATAAAAGTTGTAGTTACCAGTAGGTGATTCATGTCTGTTGGCGGTTGTGTGTCGAGCTGCTTTGCCTCGCTTCAACCCTGGAAGGACATGCGCGCGCACACACACACACACACACACATAAACACACACAGTATCAGTGTTTCTGAATCTCTGCCAAACTACGATCTGCTGCAGAGGCCAAACCGTCTGCATGTGCAACAGGGAGCTGTATCATTAACAGCCGGTGCTGCTGTTAACTGCTGAGTCATGTTTGTGTTGTTAGATTTTTCATTTATTTTCATGCACTTTATGAGTCCTCGTTGTGTTTTTAGTGGACAACTGCAGGAAGCTTACAGCTGTTCAGAGCTGCAGTTTGGATCTGAGCGGAGCTGCAATAGGTTGCTGGTTATGATCTGTTTTTTGGAATAATAACCAGTTGTCCTACTGTAGAGTTCACTGTTCACAGAGCAGTCGCACATATTGTTACTGATGTATATGATATATATGCTGTATATCTAAATGTTTTTGGTTTAAGGACATATACAAACCTCAAACCTGAATTATATGTTAGATCTCGTTTATCTAGAGGTCAAAGGTCTTTGGTTCACTCTAAAACCTGTTTGAGGAACCAGTTTAAATTTATTAACAAAAACAAAACAATTTAAGCATAAAAAAATATTTTATTTGAGTAAAACTAACTCATTTATTGTCAAGGTAAATTAAGTTAATTTAAGTATAGTATAAGTAAATTACACTCATATGCAGCATTTCTCCAAACATATTTAAAATATGTTCAAATTATTATTATTTAAAGTTAAATTCAACTTCTTTATACAGATGTTACCAACTGAATTTCTTCCACTAAAGCAAATTATTACATCACCTGTCAAACAGCTGAAAAACTATTTACACTTAATCGATTATTAAATGTTAGCTGATTAATTTTGGGGGTTTTACAGTTTTGATATAAAGTGGACTTAAAGGAAACGAGTCAATGGAACAAACTAGAATTATATCACCAATAATTAAAATACTGCCCAATGGAAGTTCACTCAAAAGAGCTTTTACTTGAACAATTTATTGTTGAGCTTTAATGACTGACTCTAAATGATTTGGAGAATTAACTTATGTTAGCTTACTTCTTTTATTAAGATTTGCTGTTTTATTCAATAGCCATTTGAATAAAGACAGGAACTTCATCTTGGGCTCAGATTGAAGCTTATGAACGTGGATAGTTTTCTATGCAGTAGTGAGGCAGCGATATTCGCCATAAAGTGCTGGAAAACAATCAACAATAATGACTATAACAATGTAAAAGCAGGAAATGTATGTATATGAGTCTGTGTTGCAGGTATGTACTGTAAAACTTCAGTTAGGAGATGGTCTCCTCTACTAGCCCGGTGGTCTCCATTAGAGGCCTGGATTTTATAGAATCAGATGATTCCTAATGGCAGAGTTATTTCATAGCCTAAAGTAATACTTGTTTAAATAAACAATCGGACAATATTTCCATCTGTGCTGAGCAAGAGCCTGTCCCATATAAAGGCCTGTCCCATATAAAGGCCTGTCCCATATAAAGGCCTGCCCCATATAAAGGCCTGTCCCATAAAGAGGCAGTGATTGAAGCAAACAAAAGCTTAACCATAAAAGTAAAAGATTTACGGTATTACAGTTACAAAACACAAATTAAAGATTTAAATAAATACATATTTTACACTTTAAAGAGGAAATTCAATCATTTGGAACCCATAAATCTTATTAACAACTGACCTCTGCCAGTGAGAACTGTAGAAAAACAACATTCTCCTGTTTGATCTTATTTTAGGTTTTCGTCGTACAGATAATTCCTGTTTTTGGTCTCGTGATGAATCTGCAGGTGCGTCTGAGGTAAAAGTCTATTTCCTCTAAAGACACATGAACCCACATTGATTCTGAGATCTCGGTCTTGGTTTCACTTCTCTTTTTGTTTTTCCCAAACGGTGTCAAGTAAAGCTTCAACAGCCGCTCAGAGCGACAGCGACAGCTCTCCGGTAAGTTTATCAGACATCTTTCCTCCAACTGGGACAGCAGACACTCAGCAGAGACAAACATCAACCGCATTATCGGTTTAATTAAACTGCTGTCAGGGAGGTAAAATATACACTCCACATTCAGACGCTTTACTTTGAAAATCTTTCATTGTTTTAAATATTTGAAATGTTTTTTGTTTAACTGTGACATGATTAACAACCTCACTACATACTGAAAGTAACGTAATATACTGCGTATTTCATTTTACGTAATTTTATTTGTACTATTTGTATTTTTGTTTACTTTTGTGATATATTTAATCGTTATTACAGATATTGCCGGCTATTGCATCGATAGTTTGATAAACTTTGTATAACCTCTGTCTTTTTTTCACCAATTTTTCTTTGTATAATGAGTATAATATTATAATAATGGAAATGTTTCTGTTATTCATTCTTATCTTATGTTAATTAATGTGAGAAAAACTAAATATAGACTTACATAAAGACAAACAAGAAGAATAAAGGATAATAAACAGACGTTTTATTTACAACACAAAATATAAAACCCATCACATTCATTGATCTCCATTAGAGAACAATGTTAAGTCCATTATTTAAACAGTGAAACAGTTAACAGTTTATAAAAGGAAATATTCAGGTTCAGTCTCACTAAAGTTTCCATTTATCTGCTAACTTGCAGCCAAGATTATTTAAAACATATTTACATTTATATTTAAAGTTATGTTCACAGGTAAATCAAACCTACCTCAGTACACTCTCTGTAATCTTATCTGTGTATAACCACGAAGAATAAATGATATTACAGTACCCAGAATGTAAGATATTGATTGAGCCTGTGTCCGAGGCTCTTATTGTGAAAGGTACCAAACGTTATTTAATTTATAATCTTCCTGTAAAGACGTAATAAAAAATACCCTCAGCTACAATATTATTATTATTGTATAAGATGGAATAACTCCCATGATCCCACGCTGCTTCACTGCCTCCTCAGACTTCCTCTGGTGTTGAAATTAAAGGGGAACTTGGCAACTTCCTGACGCACATTAAACGCATCAGTGCCAATAGAACAGCTATGTGTGTGATTAGACCACAGACTATCGGGGATTCCCATGGGCACTGACTCCTCTCTCTCTCTCTCTCTTTCTGCATCATTCATGTCCCATTAATGCATGTTACTAATTCAC